ACCCCGCCAGTTTAGGAGAACAAATTTTCAACACCCTTTTCCTGAAAAGTAAGGTTTGAACAAATTATTAAACAATGTAGGAATGTTCTTAGATGTTTTAGCCATGCTAGTCTGAGGTTAGGCAGAGTAGGGTAGGGTGGCATCTTGGGGTGGGTCCAGACATGTGTAAATGTTTGGTTCCATGGGAACAAGTAGTGGCGGTACACCTTGCGCTGCCACTACTTGTCCCCGGGGAATGCCTATACCACACATGTTTTGACGTGCGCATGTGACAAGTGCTCTGGGTAGGCGAAGGGAGGCTGGGGCCAGCACTGGGCTGACCCTAGAAGCCTTACCTGGGGTCATGGGGACCTCATGGGGCTGCAGCTACAGCAATTCTGCTGAGTGGAGCACGGCTGGCAGCAGAGCACGGCTCTGACCAGCCCAGCTCTGCTTTTCAGCAGCATATGCTGGCCAAGCATGCATTGCTTTAGGGTTTTTTCCATGGTTTTGTTTGTTGTTGTTGTTTTTAACCCCTGGATATCCAGGGGTAAAAAAAAAAACAAACCCTGGCACAGTGAACACTTGGCCAGCATGCCCTTTCAGTGTGGAGAACACCAGACTGTGTGGTATATGGTGCTGCAAACATGTTTGTGGCACCGCACCATGCAACTATGCTTGTCTGGATGCACCTTTGGAGTCAACCTACATTGACAACCCTTGCAGCATCTGGATGCACCTACATGGAGTCAACTCTTGCAGCAACCTACATTGTCAAATACTAGGAAGGAATGCTGTATCCATTCATAGCATCTGACAGAGGAAGTTGTTGCCTGTGAAAGGTTATGCCATTTCTGAACCAAGAATGTTTTTAGGGGACATATGACATCTTTACTCTGGAGTTTCCCCATGTTGTCAATTATGATATTTTTAAAAAAACTTCATTTTGGTATGTTGCAGAAGCAGCAGTATTATTGCTAATAGGTCAACGCTGGTGTTAAGCTAGTTATTTTCTGGCAAGACTGCCAAAAATGTTGTTACATGTGGGCAGCTAAATGTTTGGTTGAAAAAAAGAACAACACACTTTAAAAGAACTTCTGGTAACAGTAGTGGTTACTTTCAGCCCTTGTACAAACTAAGATTGTATACTGGGAAAGAAGACTTGTTTTGTGTCTTGGTGTTGTTTTTATTCTATCAGAGAAGTTCTTGATAGGTGAATCTGCAGCCAAAGACACAACATAGTGTTCTGTGACACTTTTGGTGTGTTTTATGGGGCAGTGGGAAACAAGAGCACCATTATCAGTGGCTTCCATAGCTAAATCTGCTGATCTGTTGTGTCCTGCAGTATACTTATTTGCAAGTTTTAATAGTGTCACAAGAAAGATGATAAATTAAAAGAAGAACAGAGGCAGCTGTGTCCATACTAACAGAAAAGTCGCTGGGATCTTGTACTGTAATACTTCCATTGTGAACAAAATAGACCTACAGAGATCAGAGGAGCATCAGGGAGCCAGAAATGTACAGGACAAAGTTTATTAAATTATTGCATAGTAAAGATATATGTAGTGCTCTTATTTGATAGAGGAAATGTTAATGTTAAGTTAGTATTTAAATTAAGTACATAAGTAAATAATACAAACCTTTTTCTGCTTGTTATTGGAGTTGAGCTTGCTTTGCTGTTGTTGAAGATGCAAATACAATTGTTCCTTACACTTGTGTACCCACACACCTCAAAACCTAAATTTAATTCTGAGTTTGACATTAAAAATATACATGTTCTGAGTCTTTTTAAATGAAAAATCTGAGCATTCCTTCACGAACATGCCATTGAAACAATTGTCTTTTATCCAGCATGAAAGTTAGTGAAACTAAAAGATTTTGTAGAAACGTTAATTTTTGACACATCTGCATTTTCCAGAAGAAAAACATTCCCTCAGAAAATTCTTGACCAGCTCTAGCAAAGAGTCTTGAGTTTTGTTGCTAGTCCTATCACTGATTTTTCTTTGCAACTTGGTCTAAACCACTTGTTTCCCCTTCTTTCCATAATCTTTCCTCTTAAGAATATAAGCTCTTAGTTAGGAGCTGCCTGCCTGTCACTGTGTCTAGTGTGATGTGGCCTGAGTAGTAGTTGTGGTCTTTAGGGGCTTCTCTCATGCAAATAATAATGGGTGTAAAGAACATGTCTTGGATTGTTATGGCTGAGCCTCACTGAACCTGTATAAGATCATTTCTCCCACCCAACAATGCAGAATCTAGAAAACTGCATCAATTCTGTGTAGGTAGTGTGGATAAACTCAGTTGTGATGCTTCAGTTGCTCAACACCAGCAGCTGAAACTCAATCAACTGGATGCTCCAGTGCACTGAAAGCATAAATGTTTTCTTTAATGCTTTACATTTGAAATGTAGTGGCTAAGAGTCTGCATTTATTTCTTGTACTATACTAATGAGGAGTGAAATGACATTGTTGCCTTGATTACCGGAGCTATCTAAGCAAGATTCTTTATTTGATGAGTAAAGTAGTAAATCGTTTCTGAGCAATGCTAGTTTGGGTTAAGTCGGCGAAGCACAAAATTAGCAGATTAATTTACAGCGGAAAGACACTGTACTGGTGCTCCATTCTTTCACTATAGTTTGTATAAAAGTTCTGTGATAGTGAATGAGAAGTAACTTTTTAGAGCAAATTTCCACAAAGTTTTAAGTAAAATTTGCAAATGGAGCAAATCCAGTAGTTAACTTGGAACAAGCAAAGTAATTTTCCAGTATAAATCATTCTCTATGCAAAAGTAGAATACTAAAAATAATCCAGTTCCTCTGTCTGAATGACTAAATATCCATACATGTAGTAAGATGGCAGTGTTTGAAGCCATGATGGTCCAGAAAATGTGCAAAGCAAGGGCTTTTTTCATATCTTTTTATTGGATTAACTGTATAGTTGGGTGAGATGTTAGACAAGCTTTCAGGAACAAAGGTCCTTTCTTCATGTCCCGTTAACATTTATCAGTGATTTCTAGAAGTGCATCGATATATCGGTCCCATATCGGATTGGCACCAATATAGGGAAAATTGAAAGCATCGTAAGTTGGCTTTTTTTTTTTTTTTTTTTTTTT